ACCGGTACGATTCTGTTGTAGTTACCGGGCGCACAAAGGTCACTGCGATCGTTGAGCGAAGTAACAACTTAGACGCTTATTCGCGTTTGTCTGTACCTGTGAGTACGTTTCGCACGTCATTTGTGCGTGAGAAACGCGGGGCACGTTTCGATCTGCTTGCTATTCTGCTCGTGACCTTACAATTCGTTTTATCGCGTTCATTGCTTCGCCCTTGCGGCAAAGTTGTGACTTTATTTTGGTATCTCGCGTTTTTTTTTTTTAGTTTGGAAGGAAAGGTACTTTTTTATGACAAATAATGCAATGGGGGCTTGTGAAGACGCTCTTGAACTTTAGGAATTCCATTTGTTGCATAAAGTTAATATTTAGTGGTTTAATAACTAACCCTAATTAGCAAATTAATTATTTAAAAAATAAAAATGGTCTGTAGTACCCAAGGGGCTGTCAACAATATGCAACTGATTTCAATCGGCTACCGCTAGTATTGCATCTTTTAACCCTTGGATAACGATAGCTGAGGTACTCGGTACATATTGTTCATATCGACAATAGCATTATTGACATGCGCGCCAGAATAAGGTCAGCAAACAGAACAGCAAAAAATGTTACTCCAGCATTTCTCAACAATGGGGATGAAAACAAATACAGCTACGGTGTACCATCATCAACAGCACATGTGCGTATTCAGTGTGAATGGCCGGGTGAAAATACGCCAGGAAATGGGGCTACGATCGAAGCACAAAGGTAATTGAAAATGATTAGTTAAACTTCAGCAGCCTCCAATGAAGAAAACAGAGTGATGGTAAGCAATTCCTGCACAAACGTGCATACAAGGAAGTACACCAAATATATATGGATGCTACAAAGTGAAATGCTGGTGATATTTAGCGATAGGCCAAGACGTAGATAAGGAATAAAAATCCACGCGGTAATTCAAGAAAATGTTAATGCAATGCAATTGAAGTCTCGCTAGTTATAGACCTAAACAGGAATTCTAGAGACCCTCCCCCCCCCCCCCCCTTTTTTTGGAAACGTGGTGACATGGGCACCCCAAGAAGTCGATATATAAACGCCTGCAAAAACATATGTGTATCGGAGCAACAATATCTGGTGCTGTTCAGCTGGAAATCATTTCAAAGTCCGCTGTATTGTCAAATTTTGCATATGACGGCACCATGATCCAGCCGTAAGTTCATAAGTAAGTTCTCTATAATTTCTTGGGTATTAAGGCTGCATATGACAATGTACTACATGAAACCATCCTGGACGCCTTGGGCAGCATTGAATTGAGAGGCCGCGTTTACCAATGGATCTACAGCTATTTGAAGGACAGAACCTTCTTCGTTCAGACAGAAGATGGTGCAACAAGGCACCATCATACTTATCGCGGCGTACCTCAAGGCGGGGTCCTAAGCCCCATACTTTTCAACCTTGCGCTCATCGGCCTCGTTGACGTCCTGCCACACTCCGTACAGCTGTCGATATACGCAGACGACATCTGCATCTGGGCATCAGGGGTCACGCGTCTACAAGTACGAGCCAGGCTTCAGACAGCGGCTACACTGACGTCAAACTACCTTCAAGGACGAGGACTGGAGCTGTCATCTGAGAAATGCTCACTGGTGGCGTTTACGCGCAAGAGAATGACGCCATACCACATCAGAATTAATGGACACACGATCAGCTATCAAAAGACCCACCGTTTCCTGGGAGTAATTATAGATCGTGACTTGTCTTGGAGCCCTCATATCGCTTACATGAAGAAGAAACTGACCATGATCACCCACGTCCTAAGGTTTCTTGCGGGAAAATCATGGGATGCATCGGTACGAGCGATGCTTCAACTGTATGCTGCACTTTTTCTTGGCTTCATGTGCTACAGCCTACCTGTGCTTGGCAAGGCACGCATAACAAACGTACGCGTCCTCCAGTCATTACAAGCTCAAGCACTGAGAATATGCCTCGGGCTTCCGAGATGCACATCCTTAGCAGCGACCGTCGCAATCGCTCATGAACACCCTATCACAACCTACATTCGTTTCGATGCTTTAAAAACGCACATAAGACATGCCACCCGGATTCAATCGCATCACCTCGCCTCCCTTCCAACTTCCAGGCCACGCTCTGCGTGCGTTCTGCACTACTATTGCTCCACATCGCACGGTTATTCCCGCAAACTTCACGCACGCAGCAAGACCTTCGTTACCATTGTGGTGTCTGCATCCACTGGAAGCCCCGAAAACCATCCCCGGAATGCAAAAGAAGAAACATTTGTCAAATTTGGCCCTAAAACAAACAACATTACTGTTTCTGCATGAGAACACAGTGGACGCATTCACATTTACACGGATGGGTCGGTCACTTCAACAAGTTCAACAGGTGCAGTGGTAATTCCGGAGAAATCCATCACGATAAAGTTCAGGACCTCGCATCTGACATCATCCACGGTGGCAGAACTCGCCGCCATTCGTGCCGCTCTGGAGTTCCTAGTTGAAGAACCGCAGCAGACATGGTCAATCTTCTCCGACTCCAAAGCAGCCCTCCAGGGCATTGCCTCGCCATATCTTCATGGACCAAACGAACAGCTGATTGCTGAAATACGACTGCTTCATCACCGGGCTATAGAGAAACAACATGACAGCGTATCAATGGATACCAGGCCACTGCAGCATTGATGGAAACGACCATGCAGATGAAGCAGCCCGATCTGCTCATGAGGATGCCCCTTGTGCAGCTATACCATTATCAAGAACGGACGCCGCTGCAAGGTTTCGATCACTTGCACGAGAACTGACACTCGCTCAGGGGAATTCACCGGCATTCACCAACGTCCGCCTTCATAATTTGGAGACACTTTTGTGCCGTCTGTGGATTGGGGTGGCCTTTACGAATGCTTATTCGTTTTGAGTCGGAATGGCCAGCAGCCTGACATGTGACAACGGTGGCTGCGCAGAGACTTTCTCCTATCTTCTCTGCGAGTGTCCTCGCTTCAGTGTGCCAAGAAAAGAACTGTCGAACGTTTTAGATAGACTAGACAATCGCCAATTGTCGGAAGAAAGGGTATTAGGACACTGGCCGAGACTGTCCTCTGCACGCAAGGCATTGAGAGCGTTGTTGCGCTTTCTGCGTGCAAGTGGTCTTAGAGACAGACTGTAAGCAGCGTCGTGGATCATCTGATGACCTTCTCTCTCCTTCTTTTCTCTTCAACGTCTCTTTTCTCTGATGTTTTATCCCCTTTTCCCAGTACAGGGTAGCCCGCCGGTCTGAGAACTGGCTAACCTCCCTGTCCTTCCTCTCTCGATCCTCCTCCTCCTCTCTCTATGATTATCACTCAGGTAATAGAGAAATGCCCGAAATACAACGAACCCCTATGCATAACCTTCATAGATTACGAGAAGAAGTTTGACTCAGTCGAGAAAACAGCAGTAATGCAGCCACCATAGTTATCCGTAAAAAAAGCCACATAATCCCAATAAAGAAGGTGTAAAGCAGGACACGATCTCGGCGTGTTTACAGGAGGTTTTCATGACCCTAGATTGGGAATAGTCAGAAATAAGAGCTATTGGGAAGTATCTCAGTAACCTGCGATTCGCTGATGACATTGCCCCAGGGGACGAATTACAGCTCATTATTACTGAATTTAGCGCGGAAAGCAGAAAAGTAGGTATGAAAATTATTATGCACAAAACTGAAGTAATCTGCGACAGTCTCAACAGAAAACACCGCTTTGCGATAGGTGCATGGAGAGACACTGGAAGTTGTAAAAGACTATGTCTATACTTAGGATAGGTAGTAACCGTGGAGCCGAACCGTGAGAGCGAAATGGCTAAAAGAATAAGGATGGGGTGGATCACATTCGGCAAGCACTCTCAAATCATGAATAGTAATCTGCCACCAAATCTTAAGAGCAAGGTGTATAACAGCTGCATTTTGCGGGTACTTACCTACGGAGCAGAAACCTGGAGGCTTACAAAGAGGGTTCAGCTTAAAATGAGGACGACGCAGTGAGTGATGGAAAGGAAAATGATAGGTGGTCCAAGAAGAGAGCAGAGTAGGTTAGGGAACAAACCGGGGCTAAGGATATCATAGTTGAAATCAGGAAGATGAAATGCACATATGCTGGGCACATAGCACGCACATGATAACCGCTGGTGGATTCCCAAAGAAGGCAAACGCACGAAGGGGAGACAGAAAGTTAGTTGGGCCGATGAGATTAAAGAGTTCGCAGGTATAACGTTACAGCAGAAAGCACAAGACCGGATTGGTTGGCGGTTCATTGGAGAGGCCTTTGCCCGGCAGTGGGTGTAGTCAGGCTGATGATGATAATCTAGGCGTAGTGCCCCTAGACTCATCAGTAGGTCAATCATCAGAGTTGGCACGTTGGTGGATTCGGTAATGTCGGTAATGTCAATGACGGACAGAATTGTGTTACAATTGCAGGAATAGGTAACTGTAGATATTTAATCAGTGATGCGAATTGAAAAGAAGAAATAAGCTTAGGGCTAAACACGTGATTACATCAAGCTACAGGGTTCTATCACCGGATCTCAAAGGGAACGTCAATAGGTGTACGCCATCATCGAAAACGCACGGTCACGAATAAACCTTTTGAAACGAATTTCTGGAATGAGTAAGAGTGGCGCAGAAAGACTAACTTCAAAACTCAGTGCGATAGGATGGACCAAAAAGATCAAGCTGTCAATGCACTTGATGTCACCCCTGTTCGGTAGCGCTTCTCTAGCTTTCAAGAAAGGTCTCAAGCAACTTCCAAGTACGCGCGTCACTAATGACGCCACGAACTCTAGAATGACGCAGTCAATGCGGCAGCTTTCATGTCTTTTTCCATGCTTTTTCCACTGCAAGCGAAGCGGGAAAGTAAGCCGCGACGCGCGCCTCGTGCAGCGGCCGCTAGGGGTACGCTAAAAAAAATGAACGAAAAAACGCGCGCGATGTTCATGAGCGCCGCGCGCGGCGGGTGCGCAGCTAGCGGACTCAAAACAAACATGGCGCTCGGTGCTGGCGTGAAGCGTCATTTTCCGATGCGCAAAGTGGACGACGTTGTCGACTTCTTTCGAGCGCAGCTCGAGAGCGACAACGAGCCGGACCTGGCGCTGCTGTCCATCGTGATCGGGTACATCGAGAACCTGCTGACATTCCACCGCAACGTCGAACCGGCTTCGGGGGGCGATCCGCCGCGGCAGCCGTGTTTCCCCGCTGTCGAGATCGGTCCCATCGAAGCGCTGCACGCTAAGTTCTCCTGTCAGATCAAGGGATCGCTCGACCTGAGCGCAATCGAGACGGACTCGCCCGCTGGCATGCGTGATCTCATCAAGCGAGTGTCGGACGCTATCTGGTCCTCGCTTACCAGGAGTTTCTACAAGGATCGGCCTCACCTCCAGTCTCTCTACAGTTATCTCACCGGTGAGCGCACTTCTTTTTTTTTTTTTTCTTCCCGTTCGACTCACCTCCACGCGCGTAATCGATGGAAATTTGGCTGTTTATTTACGGTAGAGCTGCTCTCTCTCTCTCCTGTACGCTGACGTAAGTGGAGGTGGCCAACAACGCCGACGTTCCGGGAAAAACCCCGCGCTGCAGCGTTTACGTAACTCAAACGGGCGACCGCTTCTGAGAGGGTGCCCTGTTTTCCCTTTCGCCTCCCTTTGCTTCTCGGCGACAGCCGGTAAAGCGTGGTGATCGATTGCTTCGTGTACGCCAGTAGTGGCCTACAAAAGCCACGCGATCTTCGCTTTCGTTTCTCGAACAGATGGCAAGGGAGAATGCGTGGGTGCGCGGGGAAGAAGGAACGTATCGGCCGTGGGCGGTCGAGGGATTCGATGTTTGCCGGGGACGTCAGTGGACATTCAGCCATGAGGCCTCTCGCGAAACAAACCGCGCCTGACAGCGCGCTCTGATTTTGAAAGCCCGCACGATACCCTGATCATCAAGTCACTGTTCCCGCGCTCTGTGGGAACACCGGGGTGGAAAATAAGGCGTTCGCCCCCTTTTGCGAGTGTAACAAAACGATTTGCTACATCGTAGTAAAAAAGAAACGGGAGTGACGTTCCGTTTATAGCGAAGGATATCGTTCCCCACTTATTACTCGTCGGAGCTGGCGCTTCTACTTAAAAGAAACACTTGTGGTGATTGAAAGCGACTCATTATCGAAAAGAGTCACTGATCGTCAACTCATGCGTTAAGGTCCTACATTCTGAGCGGGCGTCTTTTGTTTCCCTTAACGTGTCACTGCCCGGATGCAGACATTTAACGAAAGATAAAAAAAAAAGGACTTGCGCTTGTTTTAAAGTCAAGTAGGAGGAATTCCTTTGTGCCGCCAAAAACATCTCCTCCCCTGTCGCCGTAGCTGTGCGTTCACTGCATTCCGGCGGTTTGCTTAAGTTTTGATCGCACCTGTTCATTCTGCGCGCTTGCTTTGTAAGTACTTCGCTCCTAGCAGGGTTTAAACCGTAAACTAATCATTGAAAAAAAGAAAGAAACTTTGTTTCAATTACTAGGTCGCCGACACGTTTAACTGCCTTATTTCTTTTTCTTTTTTTTTCACTCTTCAAGTCAAATCAGTCTTCCCGTATAATACGCCCGTTTTCTTTTTTTTTTTTTTTGTGGAGGTCGTACTGCAGGGGCCATGTATTTCTACAGAGTTAATGCGATCTTGTTCTAATAAAACTGGATAATGTGACTGTAAAAGCTTAATTTTGTTGGCACTTCTATAACTTGGAGCTTTATATATATTCCAGTAAAACAATTTAGATAACATCCACTGACCCATGAACACTAGGTTATTAAAATGGGATAAACCTGGCAACCAGTGGCTTGACCAGAAGTTTCTTCGGGCTAGGGGTTCATCCACCTTTTATGGATGTCGATGTGTGCATGTATATGTATACACACATGTAAACTTGAAAATATTTTGGGTGTTTGAACGTTCTTCGTTTCTTTGCCAACGATGGTAACAACATAGCAGATGTTGTAGAAATGAGTGAATGCCTCGCTCCGTACGAGTGGAAATTGTCAAGGTGTGTCATGAATAAATAGCTGAAAGGGCATGGATGTCAGCCACTAGGTACGTCGCATTAATGTTATAGTCTTGTATGAGCATAGTACAGTACAGTAAAAACTTGTTAATATGGGAAATCGGATAATTTAGATGCATTTTACAGTCCCAGCAAGCATTTACCTCCTTTAATGACATTAAACTCTCGTTAATTTGGTCATATCTGGCCACAAGTCGGTTAATTCAGACCATTCTCAGACTGTGCCAAACATGAAGCACCACAATGGCGCGACACAACTCACGAACAACTGAAACGAGACGGCACAATTGGTATTGCTGTTGTGATCAGCGGGGTACACACAGTGATAAGATTTATAGTTAATTTCGAGTTGGTTAAGACAGGAAGGCCTTAAGCTGTGGTCACATTGTGAACAGTCGGGAGTGGTGAAAGTTGCAGCTTTTAAACTGCTCTTATTCAAAGTAAGTTCATGATTTACGTATTCATCGAGCAAATAAAAATATATTGACCTAGTACACGTTTGTGTATTGTTTTCTTGATACTTTTGATAATTGGGAATTCGGTTAATTCAGACATTTTCTCCAGTCCTGTGAAGTCCAAATTAAAGGATAACTGACACGAATTTTAAATATTTGAGAATTGTTGCTCTAAATGAGAACGCGGGTTTTAAGAACCCTAAAAAGAGTACTGTGGTGCCTGGGAATGCCTCGCATATAATTTTTGATACTACTTTCTTAAAAAAGAGACTCTTAGTTTCAATATTGTGGGGGGGGGGGCTTCTTTGTGGCATGTCATGGCAGCTCTATGTTTTGGGTAGGCAGCAATACGCGGCACACTGGTGGCAAATGTGCTATCTGCTTGAGGTACACGTTAACAACGATGAGTGCGTTGTCTCTAGCAGCCCCGACAGTGATTTCTCCAATTTGTGTTGGATGGAGGATGCAGAGCCTGCAAACTCAGTAAAACTGTCTTGGTTTGTTGGGTTAATGTCCATGATGGTGGGGCTGGCTTGCCTGAGCTCATTGACAAGAACTTATAATATCAAAGTAAAATATTTTATATGTGTTGTCTAACTCCTGCGTGGGGCGACATCAATGAGTTACCAGAACTGTCACCAGCGTGAATTATGTCTTGTCATGATCCATGTGCTGTTGCAACATACATGCACAGTTTCGGTGGCTCATTGATATGTGTATACATTCTTCTCTTTTTAAAAAAATAAATTGAGTTGTGAGTTCAGTGATGTGTCTTTTTATTCTTTCTGCCCTTATCCAACCCTGTTGCGCTGTCAGTTATTCTACATTGAACATCCACCAACTAGTCCAGCTCACGATTCTGGTTTATGTTGTCATACCATGGCACGCAAATGTTGGCTATTTATTTTTATCACAATGACATCATCATTCATTCTCAGTCAAATGATTCGGTTTTCCACTACGCATTTTTTTTCTAAGATGGATGGTCTGGTGCTACTAGGCATTGCATGCCACTGAACACTGCGACGTTGTAGGGAACAAGCTGGACTGCTTCGGTGTGGCCTTTGCTGTGGTCGCTGCGTGCCAGACATTGGGGTTTCCGGATGTTCACCTGGCGTTGTCGGAGGACCATGCATGGGTCATCTTTGAAGAACGAGAAGAGACCGCCGAGGTGACCTGGCACGGTATGTATGCTACACAGTTTGTTGAGCATCCAACGCAGGACTCGCTGCTGTGCAGAATAATGTGATGTGCTTTACATTACATTCAGAATCATGAGCCAGACAGCTTGCAGAAGATTTGAGCACACAGTTCTAGCACTTGGGTCAATGAATAAACTTTATTATGCGAGTGTAGCGTTGCTGTGTCCTATAGATGAAGCCCTTAGTCTAGATTACCAAGGGTAGCAGCCACTGCATTAGTACAGTCGCCCGGCCATTGATATCAGGCTATTCACCATTGTGCCGGTCAGCTCCTCCCTGCAGGGTATGAGGGTGGGCTTGCAGTTAGGGGCACACTGGCAATGGTCTTGTGTGTGTCTTATTGTGCATGTGTTGCCTTTCTGACGCATTTCAAATTTTTGTTGTATTCTTTGCATGAAGATATGTGAATTATGGCTGATACTACGCAGTAAAGTCAAAGTCACTTGCAGGTTGAATTGAGCATGTGTCAGTTATATTTGCCTGTATTGCTGCTGAAGTTAATCCAAAGGGAGAACTTTTCGTAGGCCATTCTGAAAGGTGTGGTGGTCAATAAATTCACATGAGCCAATTTACATATTTACAGTGTGGAAATACGACCTCCTTTTACACCCATGTCATTCACACCACCTGACAATACCGGCATCGAAAGAAACTCGCAGTACCTTCTGTTGTATTTGTGTAACATTACATTTGCCTTTTATGGACGTTACTCTGTCTTGCAGGTCTATAGAACTCTTTTGTCATACTAAATGTCCATGTGCTTCTAGGTAATCAATTCATCCTTGTGCTTTGATCTGCTGTATCCCTGGTCAATATAGAAGATGAGGTGACTGCCCTTAAAAGGCATTGTCCAGGTTAGAACTGAGGACCAGGATACATTTCTTTTGTCAGCTAGGAAGCTTTCTTTATGAGAAGTCCCCATGAAATTCGTTGGTAGCTTTATGCTGAAAACACATAGTTGACAATTTTTCTCTTTCATTGACCCTAGCTACGTTTTGTCAGTTTCCATACAAATGATTTGCAACATTTAATTTCATGCAGTAGTAGTCAATGCAACCTCCCATGTATGACAGGCCTTGCCTTCTAACTTCCCTTCCTTTACAGTCATTGTCCTTGCTCCCGCATGCTGCAGCACAGCATTACAGTGTCTTCTTCGCCTTGCAACAATTAATTTGTGCTTATCTAATTTGCTCTAAAGCTATCTCTGAAAATGTTTGTGACACAGCACACTGAATGGCTGTTTGTAAGACCTACATTTGAATTAAGGGCAGCAGTATCTGGTGGCTATGTCCAAATCACCTGAATGACACTTGCATTACAATAATCACTGCCTTGAAGGTAGCACTCTTCTGGGCCACTTTGAACTGATGTGAGCAAAAAAAACGGAGTTCACACGGTGGAAGAGAATAGAATGAGTCTTATTCACGGTGGTCGCCTAACTTTGGGACATCGGCTTTCTGAGAAAGCTGTTTGCTCGAATGATGTTGACTTCATGTGGTTCTCATTGGATTGCAGATTACCCTCCTCTCTGAGCGCTCGAAACAGGACCACGAAGTGCGTCGTGCTTAAAAGGAGAATGATGTGTGGTCCCGCAACTGGAAAAAAGTTGCATGTCATTGCGCAGGCAAAGGAAATGAGGACAGGCGGGGCCAGCCGATACCGCAGGACAAGAGCTGGTTGTACCTAAATGGCCACGCCATTCCATGCACGAGGGCGACCGAGGTGGCCGCGCTCGTCTCCGCCATCAACCCCGCCATCACCCCCACTACAGACAGTACGGAGCTTGTCAACCTCCAACAGGTGAAAGAAAATGAGGGCTGCTTGCATTAGTGGTGTAATGCTGGACCAGTAGCAAAGCTTGTAGCTGACCTAGATTTTTAAGCAATGTTCTAACTAGCATGGTCCTAATTAACAGTTTTCAAACTTGAATGATCCTAAATAACCAAGTCATATTAATATGACTTTAATTAGCATGGTTTTAATTAGTGTGATTTTATTTAGTATGGTTCTAATTAGTGTGCTCATAGTAAGATCCCTTTTTTAAGTTTCTGTCTGTTTCTTTCTCTGTCCCACTCTAACACTCTTCTTTTCATGTTTAGAAAAATTTATGTCACAGATGGTTAACATATCTGCACTTCTCTTGTTTTTTTGTTTTTTTGGAAGACTCATGCATTGAAGGAATGCCTATATTGCACTTCCTTTGCATCAACCTCAAAGTATGTGGTTGCCACAGGCTTTATTGTCTGCCAATTTACGAGGCGCATCATAAATGCACTATAACTATACTCATTTGCAGCATAACTATATGTATATATGTATAACAATATAACACCATAACAATATATATATATATATATATATATATATATATATATATATATATATATATATATATATATATATTGCACCATTTGCACCATAACTATACTCATTTATTGATTGTATGCTGCCGTCTTCATTTATAGTCAGTGCTAAAATGAAGAAGCTTGCGAAACGAGCATGCACCAATCGAGGTATTGCGCCAGGTGCACCTTCGTTTTCTGCTCATGCGAAACAGCAGAATGCAAAACAGCAGCAGCTTTAAAAAAATAAACAGAACGCAGCGCAAACAATTTTATGCAGTTCTCACATCTGCAGTTCAGTCTTGTATGCTTAGTTTAGGGCCGAAGAGGAGAATCGATCGAGTGCTTGTGTCTTTTTATTACACATAACCTTATGCAAGCGTCAGGCAGTGATTCAGGGCTCATTTCTAAATCTGCGCTCAGTCTTTATCTTATTCATTCATAGAGAGCATCACGGATCGGCAAACACGTTGCCTTATAGTACGTGAGGGTTTATTGGTCAACTCTTTGCATGTAATAAAATAACGTGCTCTGTGGTGCCAGTTGGCAACGAGAAGAGTGTTCGACACTTTTCGTAATGGCTGCGAGCAGTGCTGGCTAACACTCTCTGAATTACGGAAACATAAACACCCAATGAAGTGGATGGGAAAGCTACCACCTCGGCAACTTGATCGCTAGAGTACTCGACGTGTTATCCTAAGCTTGTAGGTTATCTATCTACAACCTTAGGACAATCTACCTGCGACAAGTTGATTTTTTATCGTGATCAATCGCTTTCTATTCATGTCACAATTAGGATACTGCTGTTGAACAAACATGAAATGTACATTTTTTATAGGCTTGTGCCAATATTCGAATGCTTTGAATATTCGAATTTGTTTCGATTTGAATATAAATTATTGTAAATTTCGAAGTAGAGGTGAACCAATAAGTGTATAGGTCAGCGAACTTACTCATAGGTCGACTCACTCGGACTCGGATCGAACCGTGAGTCTGAGTGATATTTTCGCAAGTCTGAGTCCGAATGAGTACTGTTGAAGAAAATTTTCATGAGTGTGAGTTTGAGTGAGTTCGGCTTGGAAAAATTTTGGCGAGTGTGAGTCCGAGTGAGTCCAAAGCGCAGTATGTACTTCTTGAGTGAATGAGAAGAAGTTCCATTGTCTTTTGCCAACTTAAGATCCTATCGACTCATCTTTAACGTTACTATCAGCCTTACTTAGATTCACGTTTACACTCGTCTACTCACAGGTATTCCTAAGCAGTGTCGTTCATACACCATTTCACTATTTATTAATTAGAAGCGTGTATTATGTAAAAGAGTGCCCTGGCCCCCCGACCCCCCCTCCACCAACTCTTCCGGGGAAGTTATCGATGAATATATCTTAAGCTGTCGTCTCTTCCAAAAAAAAGTTACTTTACTGGTTAGGCTAGCAACGAGTGCCATAGTCGAGCAGGTTGCTATAGCTTTAGCAATGGTCGACCCCTCACACACCCATATCTTCACAGACTCTCGCACCGCCAATTGGGCTTACGAAAGTGGCAACATCGCTCGAAAAGCAGCCCGCATTCTACAAACGCGCAAACGCATGGGCTTGGACTACCTCTCTTGGTTTCCTGGCCACATGGGCAATGAGGTCCACCCACAGCAACCCAACCTCAACGAAATGGCTCGTAATTGAGTGCGAGAACTGACCCGCCGCGACGATCAATCAGCCACCGAAAAGCTGGGCCCAGGCGTACAGTTTAAGGATCCTTTACTCACCTTTCACGAAATTACCTCCTATCGAAACGATAGAAGCCAATACCCTTCATCGCATGCAAAGCTCAAACGCGTGCAAGAGGTAGCGTTTCGCATGCTACAAACGAGATCGTACCCATCACGGGGCTGACTCAGCCGTTACAACTTAGACATAGATTCACAATGCCCGGACTGCCCAGAAGTGTACTGTTCACTCGAACACATGCTCTGGCAATGTCCTGCGTTACCTCGAGGACCTCTCACCAGAGAGTCCAACTGGGAGGAGGCATTCAGGAGCCCCAGTATCAGAAACCAACAAAAGGCAGTCCAGAGAGCCCAAGAACTGGCGGAACGCCACCACGTTCCCGCCCTGACTCAGGCGTCGCCTACTGTAGCGGCTGCTAGAATGTCCCTCGGGGACACCCTGATGGCTTAAACTCCTTAGGAGCATTTAATAAAGTTCTTGACTAACTGACTGACTGACTAGTTTGCCAACAATCGGAACTCAAACAGTGCCAAGAGGAACACCGATTACATGAGGTAATAGTGTAAAAGAGCATTGACACCATGGTCGAAGAAGCTGATTCTAGGCTGACGGACTCGTGAGTTGACTCAGATTGAGCTGTGAGTTTGAGTTCGAGTGAGTCCAGCTCAGGAGAATTTTCGTGATCCTGAGTCCGAGTGAGTCCTAAAGCTCGAGATATACATCACGAGTGAGCCTGAGTGTGCTCCACAACTTTTGCCGACCTATAATATTAGCCCGCATATAACCTCTGTAAAGGTGGCTTCATTGCTGTGGAGGGGTGCTAAGCAGTTGAAGCACATGTCTAGATGTATTCATTCGCATGTAACTACCTGCAAAAGTGGTTTCACAGCAGTAAAGGAGTGCTAAGCCGTGAAAACATTATCTTCAAGTTTAAATGAACATATAACTCTCACATCGATTGATCACTTTAATTGTAAGAGGTTATTATACAGGCTCATATGCTCAAAGTATAGTAAATTTCAAAACTTGAAATATTTTACAGAATATTACTTGCATTCTCCCGAAAATCAAATGCGCTATTCAAAGTTGTTCAGACTTTCTCTGAAAAAAAAAAAAAAGACAAAACATTTGCACAGGCAGTTTTTTCACTTGTTAAAAAATTAGTTAGGTCAGGACAAATATGCCCAGTTTTTCTTCGTTATATGTGATATATAGTATTCGAATTTGGTCCGAAATTATTCAACCAAAATCACTATTCGGTTTGATCCTGAAATTCACGATTCGCACAAGCCTACTCTTAGTTTATGCTCTGCGGCTGTTGCAAGAAGTTGCTGTTTTGTTGGCGGTGTGCCATGCTCGATTCCCTGCTATAGTTGAATACCTCTGCAACGATATAGTCTGTACAACATGAACATTCTTTACTTCCCAGCTAATGTGTGAGCATTGCAATGAATACATTTACAATGAAGTGATCGTTATAGAGGTGTGGTGAAGGTCTTGAGCGCATTGTTACAAACGCGTTTGGCCATCTTATCATCCTCTGCTCATGGTTCCCTGATAATTTTGAAAACTTGGGTAGACCATCCGTCATTCTGACGAGTAGGCAAGCATGAAAAGGGACTAGCATTGAAAAAAACATTGCTGCCAAGAGCAGCTCAGAGTGTAGGTGTTCTCTTAAGCTGCACTACCTTCTGAGATATGGTTTACTTTATAACCTACTTTGCTGTGCGAGTTTCACTTGTTTGCAACACCACGTTTGAGTTGTTAAGACTCGTTGAATCGATGAAATCTAAGCACATCTAGCGTCCTTATAGTTTCCCTTTGCAGAAACTCGAGTGGCTAATGGTAAAAAGCAGAAGCCTGTCACTAAATGCGTATTTCATGTTCTGTTCGTTGCTTTGGTGCGTCAAGCCGCATCGCTCAAATCGACAATGCATTCCTTTGCGTTTCTATAGCAACTTCTCTGGCTCCTGTACGACAAAGGCCACCTGAGGAATTACCCGATGGCGCTGGGGAACCTCGGAGAGCTAGAAGGCCTCTTTCCAACGCCAGGGCGACCGCCACCACAAGACCTGTTTGCGGAGGCAGTCCATGCATCGCGCACATACTATCAGAACCACCACGTCTATCCTTACACCTATCTGGGTGGTTTCCTGTTCCGCAGCGGGCGCCTCAAAGAAGCGTTGCGAGCGTGGGCGGACGCTGCTGACGTTATCCGAAAGTGAGTAGCCACGCATCCTGCCCATTGTTTAAGGTTCAGTCCAGTTCAAAATATTGTCTTAAAGAGAGTAAGAGGTCGGCTTTCACTTCATGTTTGTCATAGATTCATCGCAGGCACTGGGTCTTGGTTACGACTGAAATATGCAAAACTCAAGCTGGTAAAGCTGAAACTGTCGACTGTTTTAAATTGTACTCAGAAGAAGCTGTAATAATGTAAGTGGAACGATAGTGCTGTGCACAGATGTCAGCTGTTGGCAAACCGATTGTGGGTGTAAAGAGTCCATCTTTTATTCATGAACAATACCGTATTTACTCGCATAATCCTCGCACTTTTTTTGGCAGAAAAACGATGCAAAGTTGGGGGGTGCGAGAATTACGCGGGGAAAACTTTACACGAAAACGTACAGAGAGAAAAAGAAAACGAAGTGGCCGCAAATCGGGATTCTCACACCAGCAACTAACGTCACCAGTAGCGCTAAACACAAAACTCGTAGACTGAGAAGGGTCTTCCGGCGGCCCTGTTGCCGTTGTTTAGTGCATGATCTATCACTTTCGACTTGAAATCAGCCGTGCAGCATCAGTATCGCGTCATAACGTGGCAAGATTACCGACACAAGGTATAAAACACGCCGCAACACACACTTGCCCCTTTAGCTTGGATTGGATTTTTGTGCAATAATAGTACACTTGATGCTTAAGAGGTGGCGCCGGACGGCGCACGCTATCATCATCAGTGGTTGTAACAAGTAGACGACATTATTGCGGCAGTTTCGGGGGTGTGATAATTACTCGACGAAAAAAGAAATTGCATTTGTGTTGGGCGATGTGGGGGGTGCGAGAATTATGCGAGAATTATGCGTGGATTACGCGAAGAAATACGGTAGATAGATTTAGCCTTATTCCTGGGACTTGCTCCAGGGTAAACTCCACTGCTCGTGTCACATGTCGAACATAATCAGAATAATCTGAAAAACCGAGAAGCTTTCTGTACATTACGGCGCGATCTGCACTAAGCAGTGGTAACAGTTTTTGTCGGCAAAGCCAGGTTGCATCAAAATGAAGAAGTAAGCTTGTGTGAATGCCCAAGTTGTTAGCTATATCTGAAGTGATCAATGGTAGGTTTTTCGAATAGGCGTGGCCAAGCGGGCTATTTGACTTATTGAGGATATAGACCATCGCTTGCATGCATATCCTGATAAAGTCATGAAGTCATGTCGTTGAACATGGTTTTATGTGTTCAGCTGCGCGAGCTGGTTTCGTAGACAGTGGGATGCTGTAAAGTGCATGCGCTGAGCTCTGTGCGAAATCACAGTGTGCAGAGGTTTGTCGTTTTGAGGCCATTTGTTGGCAATTCATTGGTGGATATTGTCTGTGCATGAGATTCATAGGCAAATTCCTGCACCGTGGCTGTGTGGGAGTTTGCTCAATGCTGAAAAATCTGCCTCCAGGTTCAACTATGGTCGGGAGGATGAGGAAATCTACAAGGAGTTCATGGAGATTGCCAACGAGCTGGTGCCGCAGCTGGTCAAGCTCAGCAGCTCGGGAGACGGCTCGCTCCTGCAGGATCCAAGCTGCTTTGCGCACCTGCTGCGCTTCTACGACGGCCTGTGCGCCTGGGAAGAAGGTGTGTGGGTGCAGAGCCATTTGCATGTCCCTACTTGTCCGGCTGGGACCAGTCTAACTTTTTCTATACTCCGTTTCATACATCATGTGCAACGCTGTCAAAGCTAGCGCTCTTGTTTGCGCTGTGTACTGCCGCGACCAAAAAGTAGTGCGTCGCTTGGGGTGTATGAGAATCAATGAAATGCTTCTCGGGAAACTTCTAAGCATACATATTTGTCATCAGGTTAAAAAACAAACACCTGTGTTGTCGGATAAACAATCAAAATATGCGAGTTGGTAATTTATGTTTGTCGCTTTCGTATCAGGTTTTCGCTCTCCGCGCGACGCCATTTTTTTTTTTTACTTGTTGTGGCAGCTTCAAAAAAATGGCGTCCAGCTCTGCGTCCTCGACCACCTCTCCTGCGCGAATTTTCTCGAAGCTTCGCACATCAAAGCTGTCAAAGCACGCCAAGCAAGTAATTGCAAATGTAACCCATGCAAACCCGTGCACTTCAAAACTACGGTGAACTCTCCGGAGCGACGCGTCAGACCACTCGGCTACGAAACCGCGCGGAGCAACACCTCGTGTTTTCTTTACGGACTACTTGCCTAGCCTTCACAGCGTTGCACCTGATGTATGAAACGGAGTATAGTCATATGTCGTGATTTCACGGAGTAGCAAATACATGCAGGATTGTGTTCTGTTCTGTTTTTTGAAGGATTCTAAATTAGACTGGGACTTCGAAAGATGAGCTGGAATTGTTTTAAATCCTATAGTCTTTCTTGGGATACTTGAACGCAAAAATTTTGGTCTGTCTGTCTGTCTGTCTGTCACATGATTCAGCCACCCAGGCAAAGTTTAAGCGCTTGCTGGATGCTCAGCCGCCTTGGACTGGTGGCTGTGTTGATACTTGCAAACATTGTGGATCAAAAAGCAAATGTTTCGCATATCTGAGGTGCAACATCAATACATAAGTATTAGATGGTGTGTTCCTTTATTAGAAAATACCTTAATATGTAATTCTAAAAACCGAATGTTTCTTAGCCTGCGCCGAAAACTCGATGCTGTGCATGAGAGAAGGCCCGCAGAAGACAATCGTCTTTGGACGACATTTGTAGCGAAGCACACAGATACAGGGCCAATTTTTTGCACAGGCCAAAATGCTTACAAGTAAATGCCAATGGAGCAGTCTCGGCAAAGCTGCTGAGCCTCTTGCATGTGTAACTTTTGTGCTAACAGCTTTCAAAGAGTATGTCTTGGTTGGGGTTGGAAAATGGTGCGAGCTGGTAGTCGAGACTGCTGCAAACGTGAACCAAACCTATATTGCAGCGTACACGAAATGTAATTTAAAATTAAGTTTCAAAGTAAGCTAGCTTGCTTCTCTCTCGACAAATGATGCTGTAGGCACAATTTCAACTGTGTATTAAGCTCATGGACATGGTCACTGGCTGATTTGAGTATCTTGAGCTGCATGTTGCTGTGGCCGCCATGGGGTGCTACTGCGTACCCGCACCACCCTTCAAAGCGCATGCTCAGATGTGGCGTATTTGCGACTGCAGATGTCGCTTGTGCTGTTCCACATGTTGCGCTCCGTCGTTATAGACATGACAGTTGAGCACTGTACACTAGTGTCATGCAGTAATGTGTGCTAAGGTTAGCAAGGGGAGACCAGCTGTAACAAGACACTGCACATTTTGTCCAGTCCATCAATTACACACGTGTGCACACGCTGTGTAATTGCTCATACAAATGTGATTGCCAACGTCTGAAAGCTTCATCAAGAAAAGTTAGTTGCGCAAGTTTCTGTGCTTCAGTCTTCAGTGAAATAAGGAGCGCAAAAAACGAGGACGAGCAAAAAATGATCAACACAGGTGTTGACTCCGAACTCGCAGATTTGTCACCTTGTACACGTAAGATGGTTGTATGTTGGTGCTTCATCAGTTGCTGTTTGTTTTAATGAAAATAAGATTTTACTTGTGAGTCGGTGCCTGTTGTTTGTCGTTTCCTGCTCACCCTTGTTGTTTGCACCTAAACCTCGATATAATGAACCTGAATATCACGAAATACCGGTTATAACGAAGTAAATGAAAAATAGTCTTGCAATAGATATAGTGTTAAGAAGAAACCTTTATGGTGAATTTTTGAATATAACGAACTTATTTTTGTGTAAGATGCGAATTTGTTAAATAAGGTTTGAGTATATTTCATTCGTTAAAAGCATTGATGGCAATAAATTAAGTGTTGACAGTATTGCAGAAGAATAAATAAAATGTGCGTGAGTTTTCTTCTCGTCTCTCGATTTAGCGAGGAAACAAATGAAAAATAAAAATGCATTGTGTGTTTGACTCTTAATCAGGTTCTGCCACGCCTGTGCTTCATATTGGCTGGGCGCGACCACTTGTCGGGACAATCGCCAAGTTTCCGGCATCGGTGAGGTCAGCAGTGTCTGTGCACGCATCGACGGGGGACGAGGAAGAAGGGGCCAAGCAGAAGAACAACAAGGACGCGCCGCCTTCAGTCTCTAAAGAGGAGTCCAAGAAGGGCAGTGAAACGTCATCACAGGATGGCCTTGTGAGTGAGAATTACTCCCCACTTTTTCCAGTATTGCTTTTTTTATTACCTGTGCCAGGTGTCGCACTGTCTTGTTGAACAAGTAGGGCAACTATGATGAAAGTTGCGGCCACCTCGGCTGGCAGAAAGTTGCAACTTTGGTTTCCAAGTCAAGGCCAAGTGATGTGGTTTAGGCATATCGGTTAGGCCTAGTGGTTAGGCCTACCAGTTAGGCTCAGCAGTTAGCCCTAGTGGCTAAATATATAATAGCTGGCAGTGTAGTTGGCAACAAGGCTTCTGCAACAAGTTCACCATCAGTGTGATAGCATTGTTAGCCACAGTCAGCTATTGAGTGTGACTGCAGGCACATGAGCGGCACCAACAGATGTAGTCAAGAAGCATGAATCTGGACAGTCCCCTCCTACCGTAAAACCGGAATATAGGTCGAAATAAAAAAAAAGTAATGAAAAGTCGAGACCCTCGTCTTATATACTGGTCATTAGCAGAAAAAAAAATGTGGAAGTCACGCAAAAATGGGTAGCTGAAGTCAAAAGCCTCTATTGCCATTGTGAGCATCATCAGTGGTGTCGTTAGGCAAGGTTAGGCAGGGCCTACAATGTTCTAGCAATGCCATTTTGCCTCTGTTATCTAATGTCACTCTGCTGTTTTCTTTTTTCTTGAGAAATGAGTGGTAGTCGACGGCAGTTTATGATAAACTTCAATGAACAAAGTTATAGAGCATGCTGAAGTGCACGTACGGCAACCTGGTGGCACAATGGAAATTCGGTGCATCGTAGAAAAGCGTCCAATACTAGAGGAGCCATAAGCAGCGCATCACATTCTGCAGCAACCAAAAAAAAAACAGTTTTGTGGACTAGCTGCAGCGATCTGGAACTGGAAATGCTTCTCGTTGAATTCAGTCCGGGAGCTGCGTGCAAGGTCTCTACCCGTACCAGCAGAGTGCGTCTGCGATAAAGCTCTCCAGATAGTGCGCGACTCTGTACTCGCGAGGGTGCAGTTCAAGGGCTCGCCTATGTGGGTGTGCTGATATACAAAGCGGAAGGGCTATGCGCCAAGGCAGCGTACTTCCATCTTTTCGCAAGTACTGCATCAGTAACGTATTGGATTGAATAGAGAACGATGCACTCTGGGACTTTACTAGTGAAAAACAGACGTCGTCAAACTCAAGTTCGGACGAGTATGAGTGACAGCACTTTGTGGCCTTCTGGCGTTTAACTACATAAGATTAGTGTCCAAGCAAAAAGAAATGTCCCCAAAGCGTAGCTGGTTGTGTCGCGTAGTTACGAAGGTAAGGGTGCATCACAATTCTTTGCGATATTTAAAAATTCTTATTCGGAGATTCAAAGTTGGGGGGGGGGGGGGGGTCGACCTATATTCTCTAGCCCGACCTACATTTCGGTTTTCATGTTATGTCCTTGACGTCTGTCAATCGCATGCGACGTTTATGCTCATGCCCACAAACATTGTTAACAGTTGAGTGCTACATCACGTGCACTGGCTAAACCGACTGCCTGGCCACTGGCTCAGCTTTGCAGAAGATGACTTACGAATGGTGGTGTTAGCGCCTTTCCACAAATTGAGCCTGCTCATCGAGAGTGCCAACAAAATGAGGTCTGTAGGTTATGGCGGTGTCATTGACAGTGGACTACACTGTCGTTCTCGAGCACTTGGAAGATGTGTTTCTGTTACTGTTCTTGCATGATGGCTTTTCACAGTTAACTTTATTATTAAAGGGACTCTGAAAAGCAAGTGCATTTGTAAAGAGTATTTGCTCATAGGGTAATAGTGAATTACCATTTCACAATATCGAAGAACACCACAGCCAAGAAGTTGCTTGGTATATGGGAAAATCTGTAAAAAGAAAATGCAAGTAGCGATGCTGCCTCAAAGTTCTCGCACCATTCACAGTGATTTCATAGGCTTTCACAGCATCTGCTAGGACCCATGTACAGTCGTCAGCAAGCTTAACATGAACGCTCGGCTTATTGTCCTGAAACAGTTTGATTGACGCTAGCATCGCGTACCTTTGGGTTATGTTGCTGAGATGTTACTCATATATGCCGAGATTACTATCAAGCATGTCGAGGTATTATCTCGGCAACAGTGCCCAGCGCCCGCGGCAGGCATCAGTCAAACTAGTACAGGTCACGCGTCGGTAGCGTTCGTGTTAAGCTTGCTGATGCTGTACGTAGTCCTAATCAGTGAGAATGAAGTACATTGTTCTTTGAGGGTGCCGTAGACATAACATACTAAACTTTAGGAAATTTCATTGAGGCGATGGGGCTGAAATACGAAAAGAAACACTTTGAAATCTGTGACATCATTATTGGAGATATTGGTGGGATATTTAAAAGTGATACCCTTGACATTGATTTCTCATCCGTTAATAAACCCATGGTCATGAAATTAATGGCACTAGTGTTTTTCGGAGTGAGATTTATCAGTTTTAAGGTAGCTTACAATGTCACTTCAAAGTATTTCTCTAGATTCTGACACGAAATTTTCATCTGTCTTTGTTTTTGTTTTTTTGCCCTTTGCGTCAGATGAGAGGCCATACTGTCATGAGTGTAGGAAATCTATTGTTAAGTGTGAGCACACCCCACCCTGAAAAATTGAAGTCTTTTCTTTAACTGCTAGTTTCACTTCTTACTGTACCCCGAAGTCACCGTCACGATCGCACTGGATATTGTGATGTTCTAGCAGCCACTCTGCTTCGCTGCTCCTTTGGTAGCGTACAGGTGGCCAATTTGAAGAATTTGGGGGGGGGGGGGGGCTGTGATGCGCATTTCTAATATTTTTGGTCGTGCAGAAGTGGTCCACGCTGAAAGTTTTGTTACCTAACATCGTCACAACTAGCCATGCTAGTCTTAAGTGGCTGGAACTGGTACTGTAAGCTTAAGAAACGCTAGTGTCGATGGCAGTAGCTATGCTGTGCTAAAATTGATCTTAAGATGAGAAATATCCTAAACATTAATCGAGCCTCACACTTGCTGAGAACCGTCTTCGTATGCAAGTGATTTGGCGGGGAGAGCTAGCCCATCTTCTGCAGTTGGTGTCGGTAGTCACCCGTCGCTGTTTTCTTTCTTCTGATTAACGCACGTAATCTAACTCTGTGAAGACCTCCCCCCCCTTGTGGAAACAAACACACGTGGCTTTTCGGGTGCTTGGCGGGCTCGCAGATGGCCGACGGCAAATTGCCCAAGGAGGAGGACTTCCTCAAAAGCCTGGAGAACCAGCTGGGGCAGAGCAACGGGCCGCCGCATCCCGACATCGTCGCACTGGCCGCGGCAGTGCGCGGAGAATATCCTCAACCCCGATTACCTCTTGGGCTGTGGGGAGCCCTTCTCAACCAAAAACGGCAACAACGGGGTTAGTAACACGCTATGGCACCCCTTTGGCACTTTGTCTTGCATTTTGGCACGCTATATTTAATTATTATCCATAAATATGATTGAGCCATGTTTTTTTTCCTCTTTAACAACAGTTTGATGTTGTTCTTTTACCCTTTTCTACTGAAGACGAGCATTTAGGGGCGCTGCAGTTAAGCTGCTGTGATTAAATATGTGTTAACAGATAGTGTAGCAAGGAGCTTAAAAATGCTCTCAAAGCTTGCATTTTGGTTGAGAAAGCACTCGATTCATGTAACCGCATTCAGAAAATGGTGTTCTCCTTTGTGCACGAGTGGCGTGTGTGTGCCAGAACAGCTCCGTTCAGTTTTCTTGCGAGTGTGGCGGGAACTATACATACAGTTGAACCCCTTTATAAAAGGCACGCTCCAGGCAGCAATTCCTGTCTTTTATATGAGATGTCACTTATAAGCAGGGTACCTCGTAGACATTTTCTTATCAACCTGTATTTCCCTGTAGGCACTCTGGTGTCTCTAATACCCATTTCTCTCTTATATCAGTGTCTCTTCTAAAGGGGTTTGACTGTAGCAGCATAGTTTCTCCATGTCATCGGATTCGCATGACGACCGCGTCACGACGTTATCGGCAGCGAACGCCCCTGCATGTAAGCAAATTCCCACCAGCGTGTCGTTTTTGCACTCTCGCTTCCCTACGATTTATTTTTTAATTTTAAAAAGGATGTTTTGTGCACCGAGGAGTAGAGGAGTCAGGGCACCTTTCATGATGCAGTGAAGCCAATCCTCTGCACATTTTATAAAAAGAATAAATATGTATCGTACATATCTTGCCTTTAGCTTGCAAGCAAAGTGCCTTTGATTAACCTTTTTGTTGTTTCAAGACACTGGTAATCAAATGGGAAAGTAAAAAGATGAGTGTTTTTAGGCTTGGGCATGCAGTGAATGTTAGGTTTGAAGCGAATGGTGATTTGGTTCGTATAGTTTTGTGTTGAATTTGTACAGTATGTATGTAACATAAAATAAAGAAAAATGGGCATATTTATCATAACCCGACTGATGTGCACAATATCTTTTTAAAAACAGAAACAAGGCATGCTCAAACGCCAGTCTTTTTTTGTCAAAGGATGTGAAAATAATAACTGTGAAAATAGTAGCAGGATTTGACTTTCGGTAGAGTGCAAGTGATAATAACCCGTAGAAGATGTTGCATTTTAAAATTTACTATACTTAGAGGCGTCTCTCATTAAACAAGTCGGTGTAACAAGATTTTAAAACTTAGAAAAAATGATGAGACGATGTGAAAATGATAATATTCATTTAACCTTGAAATGGGCCCTCGCGGCTGTGCGGATTTCCCCTAGATGTTTTAATACCTCAGCATTATTTTACTGCAGTGAAACTATTTTTACAGGGGGGCTTGATGCGGACTACATTTAAAAAAGTGTTTTGACGGCTTAGCACTCCTCCACAGCAGCGAAACCACCTTTACAGGACATTTCATGCGGATTAACATACATACATCTATTCATTCATTTTGAATACCATAATACTCGTTCGGCTAAGCATTTGAATGTTCGCACAAGTCTAGTATTTTGTATCGTTTTCAGGCAAAAAAAAAAAAAATCCCGGTAAGGAAAGGGTTAAACATAACTTTCTGATAAAGAGATATTTGACCATGGATGTGGCTGTGAATAACCAAAAGTGCAGTATTGTCATTGAAAATGAATTTTAGTGTTTATTGGCAAAAATTATTGCTGCTGATTTTCAATGTGTAGCTGTGCCTATGAAGAGTCATAAGCATCTTCTCTCAAAGTCAATTTTGAATGGTTTATTGGTAGAAAATTTGTTGCTGCTAATTTTTAATGCACTTGTTGGGCAGTAACGCTACACTGCAGATGGCAAGAGACTACGTCTTGCAGATCATGGGGTCGGTACCTGACGTATGCGCACCCATGTTATCCATGTTAAAGGCGTTTAGGTTTATCAATCAACATTAATATCTAGCTGTATCAGATTTCGCAAAACTGACAAAAAGTGATCCTTCCGATCGACGTCATGCCAAATCATAAAGAAAGAAGAACGCTCATTCAGTGAAAGAAAGAAGGTTCACTAAGTTCTTTTCTATTTTATAGAAAGTGACACGGAAGCTGAAATTTCTATTGTTTCAAGTAGACGATAACCACTGGTAGTGGCGACACACCTGCAATATTCGACCAGGGGTCACGTACACGTTGCCCTTCTGCTCAATGTTATGCACTGTCCTGCACGCGAATACCATATGTTCTCTAAGTGTTTTCGAAGCACTGCTGTTTGGACTTTGGTTCGAGAGTAGTATGTTTTCAGCATATAGAAGCTTGACGTCATCAGTTGATATGCCTGGTATGCTTGATTTGTGGCGTGAATGTCGCAGGTTTGATCTTGGCCACAGCAGTCATACTTCTCTGGAGGTGACATGCTAACAGGCCGTGTACTGTTGATGTTCCGGTGTTAGTGCATGTTAATGAACACCAAGTGGTTGTAGTCAACTAAAGTGTGCCTCATGACTACATTGTGGTTCTGGCATATAAAATCCTTATTTCATTGATGTGCCTCGGCTTCATTTTTTTTGCATCCACTGATTGAGGTGTAATGTTCGCCAGGTTGACTACTTTTCAGACCATCTAATATGAATTTTGTGTCGATGTATGCTGCTTTCTTGATACTTACATTAGCAAGTTTCCTGCGTAATGCCACATTGCATGATGACTTCTTGTTTTACAGCGAAAGCTGTTATGAGATAACAACAGCCGATGTTGGGGCGCATAGTTGTCTGCCACTGCCGCCAGGGTCTGTAGCTGTTTTGCATGAAATGAGAAGAAAAAAAAGGATGTCTTTTAACCTGGGCCCTCTGCATGGCAGTAAAATATTCTGCCACAGAGCCATACTGCTGCTTAAAACTTTTTCTCAGGAAGACTCTATACAGGCATCATTTCAAGCAAAGAACTGATTTATCGTATGCAATACAGCATGGCAGAGGAGGGAAATAACAACCAGTCATCACACAATGCTAATTGTGTAACCAGTTTGTGTTATCCCACCCACCGCAAAGTTCTCAATGATAATTCTTCATCTTTGGGAGCCGCATGCCGTTCGAACATAGCGCACATAATTCCTTACAGATGTGTATTCTAGATCAAGGTAAGTACTTGGAATGGCCGGACGTTCAATGTATAGAAAGTGAAGCCCAAACAGGACCAAGCTACTTATGGTGCTGCAATTGGTAGTGTGCATTGTGTCGTTTCTTAGGAGTTGCATGCTGCTTCCGCCAAAATGGTGGAAATTTGGAATGTCCGCTTCCAACTTGAGAATCCTGGTATCAAATCTCGGTAGTACATGGTCGGTCTCTTATTTACGATGTCGCTCACTGTAGCAGCTTTGGTTGTTTTTTTTGTTTCTTAAAACTAGCTTCAGCTGCCATGTATTGCTACAAAAAAAAAGTAACGTGAAAGGTGAAGTCTTGTTTCAAGTCTTGTCTTTGCAAAAATCTCAGAGGCCAGACTTCAGTTTTTTACTGGATACCGTGTGGTGGCACTGCAAATAATTACCCTCCCTTCTTTGTGCATATAATTTGTGCAGATACAGTGAATGTGTCAGTAAACGAAAATCTGTTAAACAGAACTGCTGCTTATGCAGAACTGCCTCTGATATGATGGTTTGATACTTGTGTTCCACACCCCTCTTCATTTCTCAGTAAACGGAACAGTGGTGAGTGGATGCTGATAGCATCCATTCATCTCTGTCAAACTTTTTCTATATCACTTCTCTGTTCCTGTCACTTTTTGTAGCAGCCAGTTTTAAAAAGCCAGTTTCACTGGCTTCATTCAATGAAGCCAGTTAAAAAAAAAACACAGAAAAACCAATACACCTGTAAAAGGTGATACCAATAATAAAAAAACCCACCATCTGCAACTGGGATTCCAATGCGGCCCTTTTGGGTGGGAAGTGGGCATCCTACCCTTGCACGACTTTGGCACAGCTGCGTGCAACTCTTAAACGACAATGCATTGCAGACCAACCGGTTGCAGCGGCACGAGCGAATTAACCTTGTCTGGGTTTCACTTTCCCAAGCTTGTTCTGGGCACTTCCCTGTTCTAGCGCACTATATACTAGCAGGTACCCCGCTTACCTTTTCTGTTCTAGTGCACTCTATAGTAGCAGGTACCTGCCTTACTAGCTGAAAGCTAATGGCGTAGCGAGTGCTGCCATACTTAATAAAATTATGATTTATGGAGTAGCGTGTACCTTGTAGGTGTACTTGCAGGAGCTCTTTCAGAGTTTATAACGGCCCTAGAGAGGCCACTCGTCGAGCTTTCCTTTAATTGTGCTGCCTGTTTTGCGCTGGCCTGTCTTTTAATTTTTCTTTCTATCGCTTCAGAGGTTGGCCTCCTTGATTCCAGGTGCTCAGTGCACTTGCTCAAAATAAAAGAGTATCTCTCTCTCTCTCCCTAGAAGTTGTATAATGAATTCTTGTTTTTGTGCTTCTTTTACTCCTCCCTCGTCTTGCGTATCATTTACAAAATTGAAGCATGTTTCATCTTTTATTCATGTATAATTGCTTCTATTATGCATTTGCTGGGTATGCTATTACAAAATTTAATTATGGTGTTTTTTTTATATGTCTTATATCTGTTGAAGTGTGTGAATGGCCATGTCCACTTCAAGTGCATTTTCCTTTTAGCCTTGTCATGCAAGGCCGTCTCCTTGTCTAAAAAAATTATGAGTAAACATATAAGGCGAAGTCTAAGACAAGAAATTGCGCTGAGGTTACTCTGCTCCAATAACAGAGATGCACTTTCTGTTCTCGTTCTGATGTCCTCTGTCCGTTTCACAATGAAACAGTCTTGCACACTTTTTAATGTGCGCCGCTTCTTTTCCACTCTGTTTAACTGTGTCTGTTTTTCTTTCTCACTCTCTGTCTCGCATCCCGTATTCCCGCCTATTCCCTGAAACATCATTTCCATCACAAACCAACGCTTTATTTACATTGTCATTCTTTCACCTGGAATGATTTGCGATTCCCTCTCTTTTATTTAATTCATCATGGTCACGTCCCGGTTGTCACACTTTCGCTTACCTCGTCACCGTCACTCATCTGTCCATTGTCTCACCTGCACCTGCTGTGTGGGTTCATCTGTCTTTCGGTCCCTGCTCACACACACTACATTGTTTTCAATATGCTTGTTCCTGTTCACACTCGTCATTTCATGCTTCTCCGCATGGCTTATTGAATCCATCATTGACTTATGGCTTTGTGTGTCATCTGTTGTTGCTTTTCTCCTTCAATTCAAGTTTCTTCTGTGTATATTTATATCTTTGTGCCTATGCCTAAATGATTTCGCACTTCCTACCTGTCTGATGTCACCTCGCCTTTGTGATCACCAGTCCGCTGTCACGTCATCATCGCTGCTTTGTCGTTTAAATCCTTCGCTTGCATAACTTCTACCTATGACTTTGCTTGGCTGGTATCGGCACACTTTATTACGTGGCTTTGCCGGCATTGTCTTGTCTTGGGTTGATCGCTTCTTCCTCACCTTCAATCTTTGCCCGCCTCTTCTTGTGTTAATTCTTATCTTGTCATTCTTGCATTGCACTGTGTACATTGCCGTATTATCTTCTTTTGCCCGTCATTTCGTATTTCTTGGAACTTTGCATCTTTCTTTTGCTTGCATTTTATTTTCATCCTCTCCTATGTCTGCTGTCATCCACTTCTCTGCTTGCTTATTTGATTTTCTTCATTTCCTTCATCCCCTTTGCTTGTCATGGCGTGATTCCGATGCCTTTTTCTGAACATTTGCACTGCCGCATGGCCATGTGCAATACTTTTCTTATCGTTGTGCATCTTTGTTAATCTACTTTTCTCATATGTTTTCTCACTCTCCATTTAACCTTTTTCTTTTACCTTGCTGCTTTGGTTTGCTTGTTTTTCATTTGTTAATCTCACAATCTATTGTATCCATGATCTGTGCATGGTATACTGCCACTCGTACTCTTAAAAACTTATCTCTTAATCTTTCATTACCTTCTTTAAACACATGGTGTTCACCATCACTTGACATCATGCTGTGTCCCGTTTTTTGGTTGGCCTTTACTTTTGGTGTGTGCACCTCTGGCTGCTACTCTGGCTTCTACTTTTGGTGTGTGCACCTCTCTTGTGTGTGTCTTTGAAAAAAAATGCTTTTCTGGTTGAGTTTTTCATTTTGCTTGTTTGTTCTCTATCTTGTTGCATGCTTGCCGCCATTTTTCCTGCACGTGTCACCTTCACCTGACCTTCATTTGTCCTTCACTTGACCTTCACCTCCCCCCCCCGCTTTGTCCTTGTCCACTCTCCCGACCTTGATCATGTCCTCTACACCCCTTTCCTGTCGGACACTCTACAACTCACCACATGACAGCTATCTGCCCTGAAGGCCTCAGAGTCGGACTTTATGGTTGGCGACCTCTTTGACCCCAAGGTCAATGGTCACGCAAGCCCCGATGACCTCATTCGGGCCGTGCAGCAGGAGGCCAACAACAACAGCAGCAGCTTCAGCTTCGACGATGATGACCTAGATCTGGATGATACAAAGGCAGCATTGTCTGCAAAGCCAGAGGTACGCAGTTGCTCCTTCACCGTGTTGTGAACATGACAGGACTGCCATGGTTGCTCTAGTTGCTACAATGGCAGCTGCAGGCCTGATCTTCTCGCTGCACATGCACGAGAAAAATTTGCACTGTACTCTTGCGCAGGATTTAGTTTGGTGAGACAGTGCTCATAAGCGTCGGAACTCTATAATGGCATTCATGTTATTTGTGACCAACAACACTGCTGTGTTGGTTCATTTTCTGTGTTGACAGGTATGGACAACCATTTCAAGTAGAAACACAGCAGGCTGTGGCTGCATCATTGTGAATTGTTCTGTTCGTAAACTGTTCGTTGCTTGAAAAAAAAAACATTCAGATATCTTAAAGACCTTGCAATGTCCTTAAATAGATGTGAAACTGAATTAAAATCAAGTGTCTAGCGGGCCATGGCATGGCAACTGACGTGCCGCTGTTTTATTGAAGAAGACACAGGAAAAAGGACGAGCCAGAGTTGCTTGGTTGCAGTGTCCAGCTTGGCCAAGCTAAGGAACGTTCTGTTTTTTTTTTGTGTGTGCCATGAGCCTACTCGGTGTGTGTGTCTTTTTCAGAGGCCTGCTGAACATGGTGGGCTGCTATTAATGACATGGTTGCTTCCTTGTTGATTATTGCTAATGAGCAGCAAAATGAAAACAGAAAACTAAACAATATGCAGCACAAATTAAGTGTTGATTTTAGTTTAAATTATTATTTGTTATTATTTCTCAGCAATATAAACTGTCAAATATGGTACAGATAAGGTTAATTGCAGCAACGATATCGCAGTGCACTGATGACAGAACAGAGGACATTGCACTGCACTGCAGATAAGCGGCACTAGTCACAATGAATTCAAGAGAGGCGCTGTATTTCTTGATAACGGAAACAAAAGTGTTATGCTGAATCGGTTATTATTGGAAGCAAGAACAAGATAGTCAGCACAGAAGCAATAATATTTGCATGTGCGAACTTTAGAAGTTTCCAAATGAATCTTATGACTGGAAACACAGTGTACGATCGTCTGTGAACTCGTTGTAATATAGCAAAAAAAAAAGATGCATCAACGTTTTATGGTGGATATTTATCAGGGTGATCTGTCATAGTTTTCAAAGCATTTGATGAACATAGTGGGGCAGGAGCGTGGTAGCACTCAATTTTATTGTTGTTAAAGGAGTGGGTAATGTACATTAGCCAAGGTTTGCAAAAGTTAGCGCATAGCCTACATTATGCAAATGGAAATAAATGCACAAGTCCTTGCTGAAAATTGTACACTGTGCACAAACTGTACTTTTCAATGATATTACACCCAGATCTCGACACATTGAACACAGATATAACACATTATCAGTCATAAAGAAGGAGTTGATGAATAGCTTTCTCATAGATACAGTATTACAAATATACGTTTATAACAAATTTTTGGATATAAGTGAAGTATTTTCACAGCAGGTGTGAGTTTGTTGGGATGAGGTTCAAGTGTATTATATATATGTGACACATATTAACATCACAATGAGTGATATTGTTGTGAAATTTTCTCACAAGACCCATTTTATTTCATCACTATCTTGGTTATTTTATTGCAGAGAAGAAAAAAACACCTACATTAAAGACGTGGCGCAGTCAGTCGAATAGCCACAGGCGTTTGCCGAACACACTTTGAAATTTACAAAGCGTCCTTCAATTTTTTTAAGTATTTATTATCATTACCATCAGCCATGTCACCAACAGAGCGTGTAGCTACGCAGGCACATGTATCGCCTTACAAGCATGCAGTGCATATTTTGCAACTTTACTTCCAGCACAGTGAAAGCTTTGCTAATTAGACAACTGCTAGTTAGGAACATTGGATAATTCGAACATGTTCTATTGTCCTGACTACCCTATACATGGTTCAGGAGTATCGGACTGTCGTTAGTTTGATTATACTTGGCCAGAATCTGGTCAATTTCGAAGGATCTAGGCTGCGTGCCAAGCATGCAGCACGGTAAATATGTGACGCTAAGCAGCGAAAATGGCATTCACAGACAGCTCAAATTGCCGCGGTGTTTCAGTAAGATGAGGTCGCTATCCCACAATCACGTTGGCAGTGCCTGATAAGGTGTGGGTACAGCGCACTTTGTGCTAAAGAGGCGAAGTTTTGAGCAGCGTTAACATTGCGAATGAAGTCGTAAATGACAAAAATTGTGGCTCTTACGCTGCTCCTCTGCAAAGTAATCACTGGATGTTCATATTCCTCACGAAAGTGGAAGTGCATTGACGAAGCAGACATTTGTCAATAGTTTTCTCGACAATTTCAATAATTTGGCATTTGGTAAATTCAGACAGTTATTTTGGTCCTGGGAAATTCGAATCTACAAGCTTTCACTGCAGTGCCTTAGTTGAGTTTATGATGGCCAGTGCGTCGTGGACAGATAATCATGCACGAACGGCATAGTTGAGGTAGCTAAGGCTTTGTACAATGTATAGTTTAGGTAGTCGTTAAGAAGCAAAGTATAGCAAGGGAATCTGAAAGCATTGTGAACAAGGTGCCAATAGCGCTATCTCATACGACTCTTAAAGGGAAAGATTAAGTGTCCTCTAACTTTTGTACAGCTTGTTTCAGTTAAGAGTTTTACATGTTCTGGGAAGAGTGATGTTTGCATGTGTGCGTTGTTTTAAACACAGCTTATGTAAACACACACACATACGTTGTTTCCTTTTGTGTGTGTTTGGTCTGAGTGTGCTGAGAGCATGTTTATGTGCACCAAAGTGTATGTAGAAAGAAGGCTGGGATCTGTCACACTATACCTTCCTGTCGCCATCAAGCGTGTACTCAGAGGGCTGTGAATCTCACCCTCAACTTTAGGAAAGGTCGCGGTTCAGCCTGGTGTGCCACTGTGGGAAAGTTGTGTACGACCACTGAGGGCTGGGCTGGTGTAACACGTTATCCGGCATAGACCCACATTTGGCTCTCTGATAGACGGACCAATTTTTTCAGGCTGACTCGTCGAATAGTGCTACACACTAAAGGGACCCTGCGATTTCCAAGTAATTTTGGAATGACTCACTGCTGGAGCTTATCGTAGCATGAATTGACTGCTGCAAAAATTTTTAAGATCTCTCAAGTATGAGCCGAGTTGCAGAAATTTGTCACGCACTTAAAGGTGTATTCACACGATAGACTAAATCGTGATTCGAATTTGGGGATTGCATACTACGTCCCCGTAAGTCACCCCTTCCCGCGTTTCTGCTTTGGTCCGCTCGGAGCAATTAGTGAAACATCATCATTATCAGCCTGACTATGCCCAATGCAGAGCAAAGGCCTCTCTCATGATCTGCTAATGAACCCGGTCTTGTGCTTTCTGCTGCCACGTTATAGCTGTGAAATTTTGAATTTCATCAGCCCACCAATCTTTCTGTCTCCATTTTGTGCAATTGCCTTCTCTGGGATTCCAGTCGGTTAATGACCAGTGGTTGTTCTGCCTACGCGCTACGTGCCTGGCCCACGTCCATTTCTTCTTGATTTCAACCATGATGTTCTTAATCCTAGTTTGTCGTCTCACCCACTCTGCTCTCTTTTTGTCTCTTAAGGTTACACCTACCATTTTCCTTTCCATCGCTCGCTGTGTCATCTTCAATTTAAGCTAAACTCTCTCTGCAAGCCTCCAGGTTTCTGCTCTGTAGATAAGTACCGGCAAGGCGCAGCTGTTATATATGTTCCTTTTGACGGAAGCCCAAATTGCAGTTGGGATCCACGGTGATCAGTGCCGAAATCCTCGCAAGCAGGGTGAATTCTCCCCTGTTGTGTGAATGCTGGCTGCGGAGGGATCTGAATCACATCACAAGTCATGTGACTGATCCATCCGCGATTACGTCCGTCATGTGAATACAGCTTTAAGTGCTCTGTCTGTTCTGTCCCTGCGAGTTCGCTGAAAGCTGCAGAAGGAGGGTAATGGTGGCCGTCACCAGGCAGAAGGAAGCCACGTTTGCATGCTAGCGTGTGAGATGACCTTGAGTGCTTTATTCTTTACTTTCAATGTGTGCTTAGTTTCGTTGTGATTCGAGTGCTCTTGCACAGCGCTGTGCGGGCACGCCACGGCATACAGCGGTGGCCGCTGCAGCTGTGCGGCACAGTATGCTCAAATCAGACAATAGCTTTGTTCACGTGCTTTTGTGTATGTGATGAAGTTGCTTTTAGGTACTATGTGGCATCATTTGTTGAGAGAAGAGCGAGCGATTTCTAGCTAGTTTTGAAATTTTATTCTAGCCCCGCCACAGTGGTCTAGTGGCTGAGGTACACGGCTGCTGACCTGCAGGTTGCAGGATTCAATCCCGGCTGCGGCGGCTGCATTTTCGATGGAGGGGAAAATGCTGTAGGCCCGCAAGCTCAGGTTTGGGTGCACGTTGAAGAACCTCAGGTGGTCGAAATTTTCGGAGCCCTCCACTACGGCGTCTCTCATAATCATATGGCAGTTTTGTGGCGTTAAACCCCACATATCAATCAATCAAAATTTATTGCTACTTCCATGCCACACGCTGCTCTATAATGTTTTGCTCACTCATTCGCAGAAGCCTTGACTACCTATCAACAGCATTTTCTGAGCATGTTCAAGAAGCGTGACATGTCTCTTTTAAAATGCATCCAGCATATGTTCTTTTTGTGCAGAAGTCGGGAAGCCGGAGTAGCGGCGATGGCGGCGCAGCAGCCGTCACGCTGTCGAGTCAAAAGATGGCCGGCCTCAAGGACCTCCTCCTTGCGGAGAAACTGAACACCTCGGCGATCCAGCTGCAGCTCACGGCTCAGTCGCAGGTCCAAGTGGTCAAGCGAAGCCAATCCAATTCGGCCGGCGGGCTGCACGAACCCACGACGAGGCACTCCAAGAGGACACGCCGAGAATGAGAAGCCCGAACGTCAAGACTTCACCATTGCTGCCGCCTGCAGGCTTGCTTCTTCGTTGCTAAGTAGCCTCTCATCATCTGTTTGCACTCGGATGTCGTCTACAGACGTGTTCTTTATCTCTGTTGGTAGTGAATAGCGGAGCGCCCTACCCAAAATTATGTAAGCTTTGGCTTGACATTTTTTGCTCTGGATGCTGGGCAACTGTGGCAGTTATTTCCCATTTGCTGCTCGGCTATGTCCTGAAGGTTGCCCTATGTGGCCTGTAGGTCGCCCTATTTGGCCTGCAGGTCACCCTATCTGGCCTGCGGGCGACCTTTCCTTGATCGCATTAGTGCACAAGTGCAGGTTGCGCCATTTTTTTAGATGTTTTGCCGCTTGCACCATGTTTTAGATCGATATGTTAGGTCAGCAATGGTGGAATTGTTTTTTTGCGCGTGTTGACACAGTCTTGCGCCACTTCATGAACTTTCGCGGTATTGTTCGTTGCGCCAGCACTTTGTTTTGTGATGGTTGCTGTTGTTGAAAGGTTGGAAAATAAGGATGTTTTCTTCCCCTTCTTATTTTATTTTTATTACTTTTTTGCATGTACATATCATAGCTTCAACAATAGTTGAACTTCATCAGAGGAATCATGAATGGAATTGAAATGGGCCCCAAATCCATGCACTGCTCTAGTATACACAAGTTTTTTGTTAGACCGAGACGTGGATGTTATTTAAGTGTTCTTTTGTCAAACGTGAGTGCCCGGTACGAAGCTTTAAGCTATTTTTCAATTTTTTTTCTACTTTCATTCCGTTTGCATTTCACATATTATATAGTTACAATGGATTTAGAGAGCACTGCAGTAGCTGATTCTGCGTCCGCGGCATTTATTGTTCGAGCGTTACTTAGGCGGGCTTCTCCTAGTGTTGTTTTCAATGTGGGACGCACAAGACTGGGGATGGGCACTGCATACCGTACTTTACAGAATTCAGCGGCACTTGTCACTCTGCAGTGTAATGCAAGACCCTCACCCTTGTTATCAACAGCATCGAGTGCTTATCAAGCATTCATTGCTCTTTGTCTATGCCACATGGCTTGCATTTATAGAAACTGTATTACCTATGTGAAGCTGAATGGCAAGCCCGATGATTGTATAGGGATGCGTGTTTTTATTCTCGAGACTTAGTAGAACGAGAGTTTGGGCTTGCGACTTTTTCTGGTGTCACTCAGATCTTGTGACGTTTGTATTTCACGCATCAGTCGTTGAAACAACCTGCATTGTTTGTGAAACCTGCAGCAGTCAGATGCATTTCATAAAACGTTCTGCGTTCGTGAACCTTGTACGTCAGCATTGTACATCAACATTGTATGCCAACGTTGTCGGTTAACATTATTAATCAATGTTGTACGTCAACATTTTGTTACATCCACCTACAGCGTTTGCATTTCGTACAAAGCTCACGTACAGTGGTGGTCTTTCGTTGATGCTGTAAGCATATCACCTTGTTGCTTATCACCTTTGCCAGTAGGCAAAGGTGATAAACAACAATGCGGAGGAAAGAGGTGCAGCGTTTGTTACGAAAGATGAGCGAAAACTGAGGGAATCTTTTTGACAGAAACACGGGTGACTGTACAAGAATCACCTTTGCAATAGACACGCGCTTGGCGCAGCAGGCTTGATATTAAAGAAAGAGATAACGAAGTTACGCCGTTTGTGTGCGACTGTTTGCAGCTTCATTCCTTGTCAACCTCTCGGAGCTTAGCTTTGTGGCAACACGCGCAGGTGACAAGTTAGAAGTCTCGGTGTACTTGTGACGGTTTATTTGTGTGTACATATGTATATAATTTATGGTCGTATCTTCGGTTGACGTCTAGTCGAGCATGATCATTTTGCACGTTTTTGTGCATGAGTAATGTAACTTTGTCTCAACTTTTTTCTTTTTCTTTCTCTGCAGCGAACTGAATGATTTGTGCACCTCGTAGTCGGTGGTATATAAAGCCATCTTTGTTCTCTTTTTCCTATATAGCAGCTATAGCTTTGTACAAGCTTGGTAGCATTAGGCTCCTCTAGTAAAATTTTGTGTCGGTTTGCATGAAAAATTTTCCATTGTTATGCAGCACGTGCGGTCAATTTGGTGACGGGAGCACTCACAAGCTGTTTCCTTGATGCAATGTAATTGTATTGCAATTTACAAAAAGACTCGCATCCCGAGACATGTTTGCGTGGTGCGGTGTATTGTAGCAGCGTTGATTCTTTCTTTTTCTGACCTTATACCACAGAGATTTAACTTTTATCGCTACCTCTCATGTTGGCCTCTGGCTTGCATTGTGCACGTAGTGCTTGCATGTCACTCTTATGTTCAGTCAGGCTACGGTTGGTGCTTGTGATAAGAAAGGCATAGCACACCAACCAGATCACTTTTCTTTCAGGGAATTCACAATAATATAAAGATTCACACTGCTTCGCAATGCCTGTTATACATGGGAGGTTGAAGAAGCAAACACACTTTTCTTTCAGGCTTATTTCTGTTTTGATATTCTTCAGCGAGGATTCTCTATATGTTTGATAAATGCTGGACGGCTGTGTAAGGTTGTGAAAAAAATCTTTTTAGATGTGTGGAATATAGCACGTAAGCACACGTTAATGGAGCGCCCGAAAGCTCACCTCGTTTAGTCAAGACTTAAAGCTTAGACTTGAAAGAGAAATTGGAAGTTTAGCTGGAATGATAGCCTTAAAGGGGTCCTCCAACACTTTTCAAAACCTCGATTGTTTTACATGTTTTATTAGGGCATTCTATAGACTGAGGCTTAAGAGATCAGTGCAGCAAGACCAACAGCAATAGGGACACACGGTTCAACGTTATTCAGCCTAGAAAATCAAGAATACCATAAAATGGACGCCTATCCTCAACTCGATTTTTATGAGTCCCCTGAGGACGTTTTCCCTCACCCTGTGATATGGGAAGGCTCCCAAAGGAATTGAACCGAAAGCTCTTATGCTGCGGGAAGCTTGCATGCCATGTTGCCCATCATTTCTAACTTATTGATGGCGCTGTTATGGTGGTAACCAACAATTTGGTGCTTAAACAGTGAATCGCACGTACGAGACGCACATTTTAGTATGTGCGATCAGAGTTACATAAAGTCACACATTCTATTGTACAGCCAGGCGTCTGCTTGGAAATACAGTGAAAATGACTTTCTCTGCTTGAAACACAGTTAAAATAACATTCATGTTTTGAAAACGCATGCGTCCTGTAGGCAGGCTTCAAAATACGACATGTAATATCGCAGTAATACTGCATGGTATAAGTGTACATTGTCATCGGGCGCGAAGAACATGTGGTTATAATAACCGCTTGGGGTTTAAAGCCGGCCAACCGTTACAATCGGTACACATGTGACTGTGCGTATTCCCTTAAGGCCACGTAGTGCAGGCGTAGCAAGTTGAAAAACATTTCAGGTTCGCAATTGCTCGTGGTTGAAAGCGTGCTACCCTTTGCACAGAATGCAGCCATATGCGAACTCTTCGCTGTGGCAAGCCATTTCAACTTTTTCGGATCACATTGTTGGGATCGATAATTTAGATTTTTCTTGTACGTAACATCATACAATAAGAAGGATGTGTTAAGTGGTTGAAGTATGCACTAGAATCCGGATGTGACTATCGCTTTCAACTCTTGAAAGCAAAGCTTAAGGGTCCCCCAATTTCACCATGCAGTGTCTAATTTTACATTTTTACAGTGAAAGCTGTTATGAGATCAAAACTGGGGTTACATGCGACGCTGTAGTTGTCCGCTGCCGCCACCGCTAATGATCATAACCACTATCCCAGAAATGAGAAAAAAAAAAAAACGTGTACCCAGGACACAGTGGGGCTTGAACCCAGGTTTGCTGCTTGCCAGCTCCAGTATTCTACTACTGAGCCACACAGGTGCTTCAGACTTGTTCGCAAACTTCCCTTAGGCAGGCTTTATGTTGGTAAGGAATCGCGTTAATACGACTTATAAAGCGTTTTAAAACAGCGAAACAACTACCAGTCGTCGCACATGGCGATTAGCATAATAAGTGGGTCGTCTAATGCTTGAACCCATTACAAAAGCTTATTTTTGTTCTACTATTAACTGTGGCGCATAGCCACTTCAGCCATTATTCCTCATCGTCGTCAGCCACTGCATCAAAAATTGGCACAACATTCCTTGCAAAGGTTCAGCGGATACCACGCTACTCAGGAGAATGACGAAGGATAGCATAGCGAATGCCGGCCGACTACCCAGAAATTATGATTATTAATGCCGTAGTGGGTGCCCAGCAAGTGTGCTTGCAGCAGTTACCCAGTGAGTGTTTTAAAAAAGGCTCTGAAAGGTATCTTCTAGCTTTTGCTGTGACTGTGCTGCACCTTCCGCACGAACCTGGTGTTTTTTTTTATTTTTTATTAACAGCTTTCAACTGATCACAATTCCGCTGCGTTTGCTATTTGCAACACTGCTGACGCCTAGTGCGAGATATTTGAAGGGGCACCTACCTCTCAGCTGTTTTGGGGCGTTTCCTCGCTTATTAAAGCTCAGTTTGCAGAATGGCAGGACTAAGACTTTAATAGGATATCTTTAATAGGATATGCAGCAAAGATAAAGTTCCTGTTTCTCTTTAGTGCTCTTTAAAACCATTTGCTTACTATGACTAATGAAACTTCGATTTCCTAAGAATCGTCTAGAGTTGCCACTTTTTGTTGCTGCAGAAACGACGCTGCAAAAATGAGACAGGTGGTAGTCACCTTGACATAAAGAAATGCCTTTGGAAGAGCACTGAACTTGTGAAAACTTCACTGTAGTAAAAGAAAATGCACTAATATAGTTATAACCTATCTATTTAACAGTAGACAAAACCAGCATATCTACATATGAGACTATAACGATATGTCAAACATACACGCCGTTCGAGTTCAGTGACAACGTAGATCGCTTTGCTTGAGCGATTGGAGACTATGACGAAATCGCTGTTTGCAGCACGACTGTGAAAGACAATCGCCAAGAGTGATGGATAGTTCGTATGTGGAAGTGTTGGGTAAGGTTAGTAATTACATCAAATTGCTAAAGTAATCATGAGTCTGTGCGAGTCTTTCCATCTTGCATTCGTTAGATGGCGAACTATTGTTTCTGAACACTCTGTGTGCTGAACATCAAATGTGAGGTATCTGAGTAAACTGACATACTTGCTCACAGTATGCTATTGCTTACTGAATCACATATTGGGTTTTCGCCTTGCTGATTGCTACTCACTCGAATTAGTACCTCTTCAAGACACCATATATGGTTTTAAACATTCTTAGTTGCACTTTTACTGATGTGTTGGCCTAGAAATTTGAAACTTTGATCTCTCAGGTTACTTTGACTTGTGATTCACACTGTCCTCCCTGTCTGGTTTCTATCAATGCAATGTTTCTATTGGTTAACCTCAGAACATGGCAATGCTGTTAAATTTCATCTGCGATGCAAATACAGTTTTGCTAAATGTGTCATGGTTGAAGCCACTGAGCAATCTTGGCAGGGCAATGAGGCAGGTATTATTAGTACGGTATAAGGCTAACAGTCAAGTGTAGGTTATGGGTAGTTATGGTGAAATAATGCTAGCTGCCTTCAAACAGCACCTTGTTGCAGCACATGGGTGCAGTTCATTTGACATCGGTAGAACTGCCCTATTGGAATGTTCGTTCTGACGTTCCAGTGAGCCCACACGATTTCCATAAGCCTTACGGTGTATATGGGGGATCCGAGTACTATTATATCATCACACCAGTTTTACGAACAATGTACAGAACTGGAATGCATCTGGAATGTTTTAGTCGGTGGGCATGCCACGTCCAAGATGGTTCGGCTTCAAGTCGTATTGCCTCTGAGGTGATACGAATGAGCCGCTCTTCTCAGGTCACGCACTTGGTGTGTTAGTGTTATTTCCTGCAGTGGTAATTACCTTTTCTATTTTTGTTGCATTTATTTAGTTCAGGTATCTTGAATGACTATTTTTGTGGTCCTCTAAGGCATCTAATGTAGAGCATTACACACAGACTTCTACTCTAAGAAAGGGAAAATAGACAACCACCTGTTTGTGGCACGAACCCACAAGGGAATCCGTACGGATTGCTCAGAAAGAAAAGCTTCTCAGTTGCTGAAAGCTCGGTCTGGTTCGGGGTTCATATGCGAGACCAATGTCTATCCGGGACCGTTGCTCTACCAATTGAGCCAATCAGGAAGCTAGCAGTTAGCAGAGCGAAGGTGAATTCATGGGCAACTTGAAGCACATGCGCACAAGTAATGCAAATGAGTTACGCTGAAACTCGCAGGTTGGCGTAGGGGTATAAAAAGGGAAAATAGACGACCGCCCGTTTGTAGACTTCCACACTTGAAAACAAGGCTGTCGATGCGGTTTAACAATGTGCTAAGCGTGGCATTTCAGTGGACTGCCACTGAGAACTTTGGAGCTGCTGCTGTCAATGTCTGCAGCGAACCATCTATGTTGCTTGCAAGGCGTGATAGTTGGTAGTGCTACCAATTGTTGAAGTACTGAAACATCAGCCAACATGTCGAAGTACTGAAAGTGCTTGACCTGCTGGCCGACTTCACATTATTCGGGGCCAAGCACGCTAACCAAGTGCTACAATAAAGAGCTTAACTAGTAGGGGCTGAATTTCATCGTGCAAAACTGTCTCTTTCACAGCACATAAAAAAAAAAGATGTCCTGCTACTTTCACTCAAAGGTATTGCTCACCTCTTATTGCATTGGATAGCTTTATGTATGAAGGGGCTCAGTTGATATCTTATGATATTGCAGTTCTTGTGTACAGTCTATAACAAGACAGCATTCAACTTGGAAGCCACTGCATGCATTTCTTTGCTAGTACGATTGAAATAGTCTAAAAATAGCTGCAAGGTTTTCCTGTGCGACCTTAGTGTTACTGCATAGCTTCTTTAACTATGTCTCCTGAGGCAGTTTTGTGGAGCAGTATACTTAAGGTTTAACAGCGCGAAAAAATACACAGCGGGCAGTAAAAGGACAGTACAAGAGCAGTATAGCCTGACATAGGTGTTTGCCTTTAGTGTCACTTGAAATTTTTCATTTAATGAATCTCCTTGAGCACCATGAAAAACTCTGGTTAGTGTAGAAGTGTCCTGTACTACTCTGCTTAGCCCTTGCTTATGCACACCAGATCCGCACTGGGTGCATAAATCGCGACATATTGATCTGCTCAGTTTTTGTCAATTAGCGCATGTGCTGAGCTTGTGTAGTGTTAAAAAAAAAATTGCGCAGCTGTTCTTGTAATATTTCGATCGTCAAAAGTTGTTGCACCTGACTCTGCGCAATGAGGTTTTGTTGCACAGCTTCAGGTCGCGGTAATTTCGGGTGCACGACAGCAAATTGAATGTCACTTTTAAGATAGCTCTCGCTTTCCAAGCTCCTAATTTTTTGAGTCA